ATCATTCTTGCTGCTGCTATTATTTCATATGGCAAAAGATCAAGTCAGCTTCAGTTTCCATTTGCTCGGCGCGGTTTGCCAGAGCTCTATGGAGCACTCAGCTGCTGGCGCAGATGCAACTAAGGACTGATTTTTGTCACAGTGATGCTGGATTCCACATACCCATTTTAAGAAATGAAATAGGGGGACAAACACAATGAAACACTTCTGCAAATTGTGATGGCTTTTAATGAACAGCAGAGACTACAAAGAAGTTCCAAAGGGGTGAACCAAAAGAAAAGGAATTAGTCTTCCTCGTCTCTTTATGGGTTATTTTCTTTTTTCTTTTTTTTTTTCTCTTTATTCTCTTTAGATCATCTGTTTCAATATGCAATTTAGCAATTGTACATAAAGAAAAATTCTTCTCCCGTTAAGAAACCAAAGGTGACATGGTTGCTGGTTGGGCAGCATTTCACAAAGTGTTGAATCAAAATGAGCACTTTGTGGAAGGCCACATAACTGGGCCAGGTTTTTCGTGAGAGATCTGAAGTACCAATAGGAAAAGTTAGTAGCAGCGTTCTTCAATGCATCTGGGTTTCTGATATATATATATATAGAACAGCATGTGTGACATCACCTGGTGTGCGCTATGTGCACAGTATTTTGCTTACTACTTCCAAACAGTATCTCTCCTATAAAGGAATAATAAAACAAAGCTCTCCTTGTGGACGTCTCAGAATGGAAGTCCAGTGAGCTCAGCAGTCCTCTTTTTACACTTTCTATATTTCAATCCCATTTCATACACTCCACGACACTGCTGACATGGGATACATATTTTGCTGGGAAACTTAGCATGTGCACGGCTTTCTCTTGACTTGGTTGCCCAATATAAATAGAATTGTAAGTGTAAATAACCCATGGCCATGGTGAGCTCAACTGGAGTCCCACTCAGGTTAGAGGAGTAATACCTTCAAAGTTTTATGAAGCCAATGTGGCACTTTATATAACAGCATTCCTTGAAAGGAGCTGCCGTAGTCTTGCCTTGTGTGGGGCCCTTGGAGCTGCTGCACTCCAGGGAGGGAGGAACACAATGGATTGGGGGGGAGGGAGTAATGAACTTTGAACGTAACAGAGGTTCATTATTTAAAGGAACTGGGGTGTCCTGCTGACTGTGTGTGCCTCTGAACTTTTCTTTTGATATCACTTGTGAAAGATGATAGTAATATTACTGTTCACTATCATTTTATGCAGCCAGTTCTAAACTCTTAAAATCCACTTTTATGCAGACGAGGAGGAAGAAAAAAAATGCTTTTATTAAGTGGCACTCTCTTTGTTCCAGTTTCCCTGGTTGTGCTTATTACCTTGGCTGCTATGTGTGCTTGGCTCTCTTAAGTCATTCTTCTCTAACATGGTGGTGATGCAGGACAACCAGATGGTATCCAAAACCCCGTTTTAGAGGGCTTTCTCCTCTTGGCTGAGCAACCCTAGTAACTGAAGTCAAGGAAGCTCTATTGTGCGCTGAGGAATGTGGTGGGAAGCTGCTGTGCCCTTCCTAGCACACTCGGTGTTGGCATGAAAGAACCAGGGGAGCAAAGACCGACTTATTTAAAAGATCTCTCCATCTTCTTCCCACAAAGCATAACATTGCATAGCAAGTGTCGTACCTGCTCTGCTGGCTGACAACTACAATTTGTATTTCATTTTGCCTAAGCCAACCCACAGAGCTTACATAAGTGTCTTTCTGTCCCATTCCATGTCAGACCAATTTTAAATTTAAATTCCAGTGCTGTGGAATATTGCCTAATCAGATTAGAGAGCATGTACCAAGTATCTTTACTGCTGTATTGCCAGTTCTTCTAGATTGTTGCACATAAGGCATGGCTTTTGAAGTGCTACTGTGTATGAAGATTGTGGATTGGAGGTTGGGGGCTACCTCTATTGTTGTAATTTATTATTATTATTATTATTAATTAGGCTTGGGGAAAATTATTTTTCATAGCATGGGAAAAAACCCTACTTTCAGGCCTATGGAGTGAAAGCATTTTTTCATTGCCTGATGCTGATTTGCTGTATCACCACATATGCACAAATGTCCATGAACTGACACTACTGACAGCAAAATCTCCAGCATGGTCTCCAAATAGAATAACGGCATCAGTGGCAGTAGGGCAGGACAGATGCAAATTGGTCAGTCCCCACCTCCATCTTCTCAAAACAAGTCTCTGCTGAGTCTTTGTGCTTGCCACAGCCCAAGGTGCCTGAATACTTGCAGTGTGTGCAATGGGGTGTTTGCCACAGGTTGTGCTGTACAAGGAAGTTAAGCACGTCTCCACGTGTGATTATTTGAACTATTGCTTTCAGTCTCTTAATGTTAAAAGCACAAGGCTGCCTGCCAAACCCCTCTCACCCTCGACATAAACGCGTGCACGCTTGCTGGGGTGTCTTGTGAAGTTTCAGCCTTACGTTCAGCATTACAGTAGTATTGAAACGGGTCTGGGCACCTTCCTCCAGGAGGACTCACAAAATCCCAGGTTCTTCTTCATGAAGATTTTCTAATCCTCCAGTTTGTCTTTGTCATGGACTTTTACACTGGACTAAATTACTCACATTGTTCAACAGAGGCTTTAATGCATACCCGGAAGTCTCCAGACTCTGTTAGGGCTGGAAGAGCAAGGGCAGGCTTTATGCCCAGCGCTCACCTGCAGAGCCTGTTTGTAGGTATGAGGGGGTGAATCCACGTTCCTGTTGGCTTGGTTGTTCAGTTCTGAGATTCACCACAGATCCTTTCCTGGAGTGCCAGCTGTGAGGATGAGTTTCTCCCTCATTATGAACCAAACAGGAGATATACATACATATGTATCTCTCTATGTAGTGTTGGTTTATTTGGGTTTTTTGGGGGGGTTTCTTTTTCCACCCATCCTCAACACACTTAGCCTCTTCCAGTACTTGGAAGCTCCTGCTGATGATAAAGCACAGGCCAAATGTAAATTACAACAACAACAACAAAATCTAATCTAGTACAGGACCTGTTTAAAGTACTAGAACACCCTGATGATCCTTAACTTCGTACAGCCTGTTTGCTAAAAAGAAACACTTTCAGTTCTGTATCTTCGTCAGTAGGTGGTGCTGGCAAACTGCACATTTCTTAGTGCACTCTTGGCGCTGTCTGCACCATAGATTCACAAACGTGTCGGTGGGGAGGTCAAAGTTTCAACGTGATCTCAATGCAGCCTCAGAACAGGAGCCCCATTTTGCCGACAGGGTGATCTGTATTTCCTCGTGCATAAGGAAATGCGTTACCTGAACTGCTCAGACTTCTGACTGCAGCCAGAAATGGCGTTTATTGGTAAACAAAATTGGACAGGCTTGCATTGAAATATGGAAAATTAAGTCCACAGTTTTATGAAGGGGAGATACCTGTACACAGAAGGACTTGTGAGGACATGAAAGTACATAGATGGAGTTTCCCTCTTGGAGTCCCAGCTTGAAGGGAACAGAGAGGAAGGTTACAAGCATGATCCTTGTTTCTCTCCTCACCCCAGCATACCTACAGCTGATTCTTCTTCAGCTTCTAACTGAAAACTTTTTTTTAATTGTTATATGTGGCCTTATAATAAGCATTATAATCATGCAGTGATCTGAAATGAGAAGTTGAAGAAAATCACTGCTTATAGCAGAGTCTTTACATGTTTTTTTAATGTTTCTTTCGACATAATTTACAATCAGAAGTGAATGGTTAATAATCTCAATTTTTCTTTACACAAATCTGTAAATAAAATTATTGTTGATCTTTGCATGACCTCATGGCCAATGTTGCCAACATTGCCATAAGGTGTATCTTCACAGTGGCAAATGTTTCATTTGCTGTGATCTCTGGTTTGAGGACTGGTGACTGGCATATGGTAAAAGAAGTTAAGAAGAGGAACTAGACAATAAGTTGATCATGAATGGGCATACAGTAGCCATACAATAGACACTAGCTCACTGTGTTTTTTCCAGTTGAAGTGGAGCTGTGGAAGTTTTCGCGAGTTACTTGCACTTCAGAGTTGACTGAAATATCCCAGCTCATTTTTCATAATGTGTATTTGCTTCCTTGATTTTTTCTTTCTTTATTTAGATTTTGATAATATACCAGTAATCATTTTTTAAAAGGTGCAAGAATGCAACCTGCAGTAGGAAACAGAAACTGAGGAGGGATTATTGCAGCTTGTTGTCTTACAGTGCTTATAATTTAAGCTTAGTGAAACATTTGTCTTATATTAACAGCTAATTATAACCACATGTAAAACTTAACATCATTACCCAGGATTAAGCCCTGTTGCTTGATCTGGTTTATTATTTAATACCTTTGGGAATGTTTTAGAGAAAGGTGTTTTAGATAAGTGCACGCTGTTCATAACTTCTTAAATTCACTATTAAAGGTGGCAAGTGCTATTTCTTGATAGCCACAACTTCTTGTAAATAAATGAACTTTACAATCATGGAAATTCCCCTGTAGTTTTTTAAATGCAGAACGATTAAATGGAATAGTTTCATTGCCCAAGGTCTGGGTTGTTATATATATTATTTACTGGGCTGTTAAATAGAAAACTCATTACTGATTCGTCTTTTGTATAGAGAGAGATATATATAAAAAATCTGGGCTGTACACTACGTACAATACAGTGCTGCATTTTAGAATTATTTTGTTTCTGTAGACTCAGATCTGTAGGAAAAAAAATTAGTAACTGTGGCTTGGAGATTGTTTTGGGGGATGATGTTAGGTCTGCTCTGCATCCTACTCAGTCACTAAGAAGAAGGGCAGAGCCAAGCTCTTTGATGAGACACCCTCATTGCAAAGCTCTTGTGGCAGCGAGGTCTCTGGTCGCTGTACGTTTTTAAGTTGCTTAGAGTATTACTGAAGAAAATCTGAATTCTGTGGTCTTATGTTTTACAGATCAATCCAGAAGCTGGTACAGGACTGCCGACTAGCTCACAAACCATCCCGGCATTTGGGGGGCTGGGGGGCTGCTGTATTTTTCCCGCCAAAGCCATAACTCCCAGGTTGGGTAACCGCGAGCCGCAAAGCTGCTGTCCACGTGGACTGGTGCTGAAATCTCCCGTCCGGCTGCTGCCAGAGCCTCTCCAGCGAAACCCAGAGACATGGCAACAAATGGGACAAAAGTGGCAGATGGACAGATCTCCACGGAAGTTGATGCTTCAATCACCAATGACAAGCCTAAAACCTTGGTAGTAAAAGTGCAGAAGAAGAAGACAGATCTTCCAGACCGAGATACTTGGAAAGGAAAATTTGACTTTCTTATGTCCTGTGTAGGTTATGCCATTGGCTTAGGGAATGTGTGGCGATTTCCATACCTTTGTGGCAAGAATGGTGGAGGTATGATTGCTGTTCCATGTTTACAACCTCTGATATATTTGTATATTAGAATTCACCATAAAAATTATCGGTAAAACAGAACTTGGTTTTAATAGTTTTTTCATCTGTATAGTTGTTTGGGGGAGGGTTGGGTTTTTTTTGCTTTACACTAGTCCAGGAGGGTTGGAGCCATTTTGGAGTGTGGTGCTCTGCTTTGAGGTCTGCTCTGGAGTTTATTCTAACTTCTAGTTGGCAGATGCTCTTAAAAGACCATAAGCAGAACTAAAGCACATTGTCCTCCAACCCTTCAGAGCCCTCTCTTTTGGACTGAGTTTTTGAGAGGATTGCATACAGCTTGTAATACTGAATCTGAGCTTACCATAAAAGGGTAACTTCAGCTGGAAAGCAGCCAGTTCTGCTTAAAGCCTTTATGCTATCTGCATGCTCCTGTGATAGATGAAGGCAACAAAATACAGAGTCTTTTGGATTTTAGCTTTTTACTTAAACAGAAAATATTTAAGTGATGAGGAGAGATATTTTTCCCCTTATTTTCACCTCTTGAGTTACTGGTTCAGGAGTGTACATGTGCTTTCCGCTAACTTTTTTGAAAAGTTACACTTAAGAGGAAAAAAAATGCTGTTTTCTTTTCATATATAATAGGGATGGAAACCGTGGAAACTCAGTAGTGTTTTTTCCCACTGTAACAGACTTTTTCTTATTTCTTTTTAGGTGCATTCCTGATTCCTTATTTCCTTACTTTAATTTTTGCTGGAGTGCCACTGTTTCTTTTGGAGTGTTCCCTTGGTCAGTATACATCTATAGGAGGCCTTGGAGTGTGGAAGCTTGCTCCAATGTTCAAAGGTACAGTATGAATTTGGATTACTTTCCATTTGTTTCCAAGTTGCAGAAGTTGCACAAAGTGACAGGGCAAGGATGTTTCTTTATGCCTTCATATTTTTACTTACACCATAATTTTCCACAGAAAACCCTAATTTTCTGAGGTGTAACTGACAACTGTAACTGAGGTGTAACTGACAAAAACACACTAGGATATTATTCATTTGCCATTAAAAATAGCAAGAGTTAGGCATTAGAACCTCAACAAACTTATTTTTGAACTTCAAAAACTTTTATTTTTTGTTAGGAACATTCAAAGACTGTTAAAAATAGCATATTAAACCTAGCAGTAGTTGTCTGAGCAGGTATGGAACTCTGTTCACAGCAATTTGTTAAACATTGTTTCTGTTTGAGGTCACAGAGATTTATATCTCCTGTTGTTCTTTATTGAAATCCAAAAGCCAGACACTTCAAAGATGGCAATTTCATGCTGAATTGCTTAAGACAAGCTCACTCCATACCTAGATTTTTAGCTAATTTGAGGTTTCTAGTTGCTAGATCTAGATCTTAATAGATCTAGATTCTGCATAGACCTACAAACCTCACAAACTGTGCTTTTCACCCTGTAATCCCAAATCCTTTGACACTTAAGAGCGCCTGAGCTGACTTCTGGACCAGCAGAGGAGCAACTTACACATTGAGTTATAAATTACTCCACACAAAGGACTAACAATTAGTATAGGGTGAGCTAAAAGTTTGTTTAAAGTGGATTTTGTTCTAGGAAATTTTGTATTGGGAAAACCCAGAGAGACAAAAATGTTTCTCACAGATAAGTATTTTAACTTTGCTTGAGTTACGGCTGTTGGTAGGGGACACAATGCAAAGTACAGACCTTGCTTTGCATTATACTAATTATTTTGAGCACTTCTTCCTATTTAGTGTCATGTGGCAACTGTCACCAGCCTGAATATTTTAAAATACACCTGAAGTCTCCATGTGGAGTAGAAGACAAGGCATTCTCATTGTGAAACCCCTGACATTTCTTTAGTCTGAGATGACATAACAGCATTATACTAAGCATCAAGCACTTTGATCAGTGTACTAAATGGCTAGCTGGTCTTATACTCGATTTGTGTGCATCTGCCAGAAGTTTCTGTGGGACTGCTGTTTCAGAGAATGAGCTGATTTAGCTCTTTTCCCTAGAAGTAAAAAATGCTTGTAAAATCTCAGCAGCAGCAGATGTGACTGCTTACTGCAACACACAGAGAACTGGACGCTAAGATTAAATTTATAGATAACTGAACTATCACCCAAGTTAATGACCTTTTTATAATGGTACTTCTGAAATTTTAACTCAGCTTCTACAAAATTTGGTAAATGATATCTGCCCCATATGTTGTATTTGTCCTTCTGAACTGCAGCTCTTCAACTGATGCTTGTACAGACATTACTGAAAGTTACCTTCTTTTGTATCGTTTTGTTTTCTTTACAGGTGTGGGACTAGCTGCTGCAGTCCTTTCCTTTTGGCTAAATATTTACTACATTGTGATTATTTCATGGGCCATATACTACCTGTATAATTCCTTTACTACTGTAAGTGTGTGTGTTGGAGCGGGGGTTGGAATTGTTTGTCGAATGTAAAGCAGAGTGATATATAGATAGATGATTAATCTGTCTCACTGTAAAGGTGTGAGGTTAACACAAAATGCAGAGAAATCAGTACGATAAGCCATTTCTTACTAGAGGAAAACTGTTTTGTAAAAATCCCTTTTTTTTTTTTTTTTTTTCTCACAAGAAATGTAGAATAGAAAACTGGGAGGAAAACATTCTGTTCCAAGAATGTCAGTGGAGAAACGTAATAATAGGTTATTTGGGAGCCACAGACGAAAAACCCTTTTTTTTAAAGAGGAAAATTTTTTTTTAAAAATCCCTTTTTTTTTTTTTTTTTTCTCACAAGAAATGTAGAATAGAAAACTGTGAGGAAAACATTCTGTTCCAAGAATGTCAGTGGAGAAACGTAATAATAGGTTATTTGGGAGCCACAGGCTTCTCTTTCTTACTAATGTGTTTAAATTTTCTCATCTTATTCTTCAGAGCCACAGCTCTTTCATCTGTACCCTTTTAGTTTCACTTATTACCTGTCTCTGCCCTTTCATCGCAAGCATGCCTGCTTGCTTCTCTGCTTACCTGCCAGGCAGCCGCAAGTCAGGCTCAGGCTTCAGGCTCCTTGTTCTGGCAATGCTAACGAGAGTACCAGTACCCCTTTGCCTTTGAGCCTACAGGCCACTCATTCCCGTGTGAAAAATTCTAGTGTATAACTGATTTTTTTTTTTTCTTCAATAGCAGCCACACAACTGTTAGTTCATTGGGAAATAGTATCATTGCAATGTGTTTTAATAGTGGAGGTGTTTATTAAAGAAATCCCTATGGAATGGAAAGTCTGTGATTCGATTAGCTCTGAACTTCCATTCATTGTTGTTATTTTTGCTTTGATTTCTTTCCTTTTAACTTTGTTTTTATCTGCCTTTTTTTCCCTCAAGGATGATTCATCAGCTGAGTAGGTCTTGTCTGATTTGTGGGTTTTGGCCATCTGAGGAAGCATTCTTACATAAGTCTCAATAATTAATGCATTATTGTCCAATTGTTGTCTCTTCTACAAATTTTGTTCATGCTTGCTTGTCCTCAGCTTTGAAGAGTTGTCCCTTGACCAAATTTTCATTAATTACTGTATGGGAGTGATGTGATCATTTCTTTTTTTGTTATCCTCAGATTTGTTATTGATGTGAAAGGTCAGTCACAGTCTGGAAGTGGCGCACTGGCCCATATTAGATGAATATTGACTTCTAATTCCCTTGAAGTCTCTTATCCTTCTATTTAAAACATGCAATACCCTGATACAACATTTTCTGTGAGAAGATTTTCCAAGATTGCTCATCATTAGAATATCTAAGTTGTATCCAAATGAGATTTGTTCTAATGGATATAATGTGGAAACAGGCTCTGTTTCTCAGAACTTCTGAAAGATAATTTAATGTAATGGACACATGCAGAAAACGCATGTAGAAAATAGAAAGTTTACATTTTTCTAATTGTCCCCTGACCTGAGGGGAAAATGGAAATCTCTGATCAATAACCATCACACCTTTATTACCTCTAGTGCAACAAGAGGTAATGGGACCTCCAGGAGGTCCTTTCTGCTGCCCTTGTTTCTTGTAGCGCTCAATATACCCTCACATGCCGAGAGGTGTATCAGACTCCAAAGCTGATATATTAAAGAAACGAAGAAATATTTTCACATCTGATTCACACAATTGATATGAAGTTAAATAACTTATGTGGCAGACACGCACCCCAGGGAGATCAGTGCACTGCAGAACTCAAAGTATATTAGTTCTCCACTCAACTGTCATTTCTAGGAAAGAGGTAATACCTGAGGTAATGCTTACTTAAGAAGTGTTTGACTGTTTAGGTTTTTCTCTCTCTCTTTCTTAAATAGACTCTTCCTTGGAAACACTGTGAGAACCCATGGAACACTGACCGCTGCTTCTCCAATTATACCTTAGCAAACACCACCAACATGACAAGTGCTGTGGTCGAATTCTGGGAGTAAGCTGATAATTTTTTTCTATCTCATTCCTGTGCATACGCAAGGATCAGCTTGTTATCATTCATATCCTATCTTTTGAATTAGTTGTCAAATGCACCATTCTGTTGGCTTATTCTAGACGCAACATGCACCAAATGACTGATGGATTGGAAAAACCAGGACAAATCCGATGGCCGCTAGCAATTACTCTAGCAATTGCCTGGATTCTGGTGTATTTTTGTATCTGGAAGGGGGTAGGCTGGACTGGAAAGGTAAGATTAAAAAGTACTGTAAATACATTTCAATTAAAAATGCCCATTTTACTCAAATATTCTGAAAATTCTTGAGGTAAGAGGCACTGGGGGTAGTCTTGCTGGAATAGCTCTGTGAAGTATTTAATTTCTATCTTTCTTGAATTGATACAGCACTGTGTTTTTGAAAGAGCTGGCTCCTCTGTAGCTAGCTCTGACCACAGTCTTGGATGTATGTTCACTTAGCGACTTCTTGGCTTTACCAGGTATAAAATTGCCTAAAAATATGTCTGCTTGTCTCTGGGATGCATATTTTAGCTAGTTTGGATAGCAATAGAGTGAGGATGCAGTGTTTTGGCTTCAGTGAGAAGCAAGCATTTATTGCACAGCTGTTGCCGGACTTCTATATGTAAGTAAGTGTTGAAGCTGTATTGCATATAAGAGTTACTCCCTCCTTTCCTTATGCTAAATGAGAGCCATAGGTTGTTCTTACCACGGGCATGCCTGCATGCTGTGCTTCTTGGAGTCTGGCTGGTTTCTGAGTGCAAAACAGAATTTACTAATGAATTAAAGGGAATTATATTATTGACAGACCTTTCTCTAGGAATGAAAGGGCAACAGCATCTGACATTGGCATATACCTCTCCCTCTCCCCAAAATGGCAGGAAGAAATCTTAGGGAAATGAAAAGCCACAGCCATGAGGCCTGGTGGCAACTGAAGGCTTGGGTTATAAGACCTCAGGCCTGGTGTACAGGACTAGGATTTTTTCACACTGAAAGAATGAATTCTTAATTTTTGACAAGGTAGTTGTAACTGTGATCCACTTCCAAGCTGCATGTTGAACATGGCCTAGTTGAGCTCAGACCAAACCATTTCATTTCTCCTGTCTGCAAAGAAGGTGGCAAAAAAGGGCTGACGGTTTCTTTGGAGTCTGACTTCATAGTGTCTTTTTTATAAGGCTTTTGAAAAGGCAAGAGAGTAGGATCCTGTAGGGCCATTCTGTCATAACATAGGTGAGGAGAGAGTGTTAAAAATACAAAAGCATCTGTCTGAGAGCAGGATAATAATCTAACAGACATTGTTCTACAGGATAGGAGTACTAGAACCTTGTGCTTTAGGGAGCACCCGTTGTTGAGTATGAAAAAAGAAAAGCACGAGCCCCTCATGCAAAGATATCCTAGTCCACTAAATTCCACCTTCAGGGAAATCAGCAACAGCCACCTGCCTTGCAGACGTGGTGTTTAGGGAATTCTGCAGTAAGCGCTCCCCTTTCCTCACCAAGCTTTTCCATTTGATAAATGCTTCAGTTTTAAAAGTCAGCCTCAGTTGCTGCTACAGTATTTTTAGGGAGCAAATATTTTCTGAAGTGTTAACAAGCGCAGACCATTCTTCCTTCCACGCTTACAATGTCTTGTTTCTTCACATCAGGTGGTATATTTCTCTGCTACTTATCCCTATGTTATGCTGCTTATCTTGTTCTTCCGTGGTGTAACACTGCCTGGAGCAAAGGAAGGCATTTTATTCTATATAACTCCCAACTTCAGTAAGCTTTCAGACTCTGAGGTAAATATTCAATCCTTGTAAACAAAAGTTTCACTGCTAACTGTTCACCTTTCAGACATATGACCTGCTCCTCAAGTGCAGAAACAGATTTTTTAAAAAATTATTTCCTGCAATCAGGTTTGGCTGGATGCTGCCACACAGATTTTCTTCTCCTATGGTTTGGGTCTTGGTTCACTGATTGCCCTTGGAAGTTACAACCCTTTCCACAATAATGTTTACAGGTAAGCAGATGACTGCACATATTACAATGGCACTTTCCTGTCTCAGCTGGAGCTGGATTCTGTCTTTCTGTGTACTATATCATTGAAATAAAGGGTAGTCTCAAATCTGAGTATTAAATGTTATATCTAACCAGGAATGAGATGTATAACTGCATTTACAGTAATGGGAGAGGCAGTATGACTTGTCCAGCGTGAAATGGAATCCAAACTGTGAAACCCTAAATCATTAAATCTTTCCACAGGAAAAAACTGTGATATACACATGAACAGTAGCATTGCTTTACCTACTGCTTAATGCACCTTACCTTTATTTCAGGGACTCCATCATAGTGTGCTGCATAAACTCATGCACAAGCATGTTTGCTGGCTTTGTCATCTTCTCCATTGTTGGATTCATGGCTAATGTCACAAAGAGGCCTATCGCAGATGTTGCAGCATCAGGTATCCAATATATTTTTCTCTAAGTTGTTCAGTGGTGTCAGTTATTTTTTGTTTGTACATTATATCCAACTGCTTCATGTAATTGTTCAAAATCCCTCCCTCAAAACATTCCTCAGCTCCCTGTCATTTCAGTCGCGCTTACTGATTGCAAAAGGGAGAGCAGTGTTTCAAACCTTTGAAGGCAGCACCAGCAAAATCATTTCATATCGAGCAGACTGTCTGCCTGCCTGCCTAATGCTCTCAAACCTTTGGTGTGGAGAGTGGTCAGCCAGAGACTCATCTTGGGCTGACGCAATGAATACTAATGAATACTACTTACAGGGAATGCATTTACAAGAGGTGGCAGCACAGTTTGCTGCTTCAGTGCTTAGCTGTGACATCAGATTATGAGCCTCTTGCTACTGAAATTCTTAAAGGCAAACTGAAAGGAGGAATGATGGTCATTATGTTTTTAGAGCATATATTCTCAAATTCAGTTAGGTTTTTAAATTCCTTTTACTGTTTCTTGAGGTTAAGCCCTTTGAGGAAGATCCATTTGGGGCAGATTTTGGATTGTTTAGGAGTCTGGTTAACAGAGTCCCTTGGGAGGCAGTCCTGAAGGGCAAAGGAGTCCAGGAAGGCTGGATGTTATTCAAGAAGGAAGTCTTAAAGACACAGGAGCAGGCCGTCCCCATGTGCTGTAAGATGAGCAGGCGGGGGAGAAGACTGGCCTGGCTGAACAGAGAGCTTTGGCTGGAACTCAGTTAAAAAAGGAGAGCTTACTGCCTTTGGAAGAAGGGGCAGGTGGCTCGGGAGGACTACAAGGATGTTGTGAGGTTATGCAGGGAGAAGATTAGAAAGGCGAAGGCCCAGCTAGAACTTAAACTGGCCACTGCC